AGGAGGAGAAGGAGAAGGAGAAGGAGAAGGCCTGGACTCTGTCTAGCTCTACCATGGATTCCACTTAGGCTATGAAGGAAATCCTTCCCAAGACCTCAGCTGCACCATCTGTAAAATGGAACACAGGTCAAGGAAGTAGATTTGGAAACAGTTGCTTCAGAAAAATGTACATATTTACAAATGCACATTTTGACAAATAACTTGTGAGGGTACATGGCCTTTCAAAGCTTTTGTAAAGATCCTACAAATTATCCATGGAATCCAGATGGAAAAATCTCTGATTTGAAGAAATCTACGTCTGTTTCTAGCTCTTATCTATTTTTCTTTACATATTTCTCAGCCCCTGGGCCTTTTCTCTCTAAACTTCATTGGTTGCAGACCCTATTTTTGGTTGGGAACTGGAATTCTTTTAAAAGAATAATAGGTAAAGAGTTTCTGATTTGCAAGATGAGAAAAAAATTTTAAGATTTGTAATCCAACAATATGAATACACCTAACCCTACTGAATTATACAACTAAAAATGGTGAAGATGGTAAGTTTGAAGTTATTCACCACAATAAAAATCTATACACATAATGAAATTTGATCCTGCCTCCAAAAAAATACACAAACTCATATATCATCCTAATCTATATATTATTATATCATGGGGAAACAGTCACAGTGAGATTCAGAGGTAAAAGGTTCTAGACAAATGGTCTCTGAGGGCCATCCATGTTGATTTTTACCATGGAACATGGCTGATAGCTTGGCAAATCTATAATATTCTCCATCCTCTTCATTTGAGTGTTTTTTTCCACCAAGGTCCATCTTCTATGACTATACTCCCCATAAACACCCAGTCACCTAGTAGCCCTCCCCTGTGACCCCCATACCCTTGGTCTTCCGGAATTCCTCCAGCAGGTAGCCAGCTTCCTCCTGGATCCGCTCCTCAATGCTCCGCTTTCCCATCCCAAAGTCCCGCAGGATGGTCAGAGAAAAACGTCGAAGAATCTTCCATCGTTCTCCATTGGCCATAGCTATACCTGCCAGGATCTGAGTGTCAGGCTCCTGCCTCCCCTTCCCCTCTCTGTGCTCAGCTGTGTGCTAGACAAGGATAGGGTGAACTATAAAAGTTTTTTATTCTTGAAGAAGTTCCTCTTGACCTTGCAGGCTCAATGGGGAGACTAAGATTCCCTTCCTTCAGTACCCTCAAAAGCACTCCAGACTGAGGCAGAGGAAAAGGGAGTCAGGCTAGGAATAATGGTGGGGAGATTAGAGAGAGTTTCCTGTAGGAAAGAGCTAGAACTGGGTAAATTACTTAGTGAATGCAGGGGAAGGTGGAAGAGGTAGGGTTTAATGCCACATACAGCACCCTGGAATTAGAACACAGTTCTATTTTCTGTGCACCACATGGATTCTCTAGATCAACACAGATGTATATACAGAAGCTTGTACTTGTACATCAATATACCTAAGCTGATGGAGTTACCATGTAGTAAGATTTATTTAGAAATCACCAGCTGTGTGGATTGGTAAATTGTTTAATGACATTTCCAGGTAGATTTATCAATGAAAGGAAGAATTTATGACTAGATGACCGATAGGTAGAAAATTGAAAGATTGAGTAGCTAAGTGAAATGTTAATATGTGGATGGTTTGAGATGAATGGATAATGGTTTGAAGGTAGATGAAAAGATTAAGAGATAAACAAATTATGGAAGGATTAAGAAATGGATGGATGGGTGGAATATTAATTGATATATACATAATATAATAGATGTTTGCATATAAAGAATAATGAATATGCTTTGATGGATTTGAATAATGGATTGAAGGAAGAAAAAGCAGAGGGAGAGAGAGAGAGAGATGAAAAGATGGAATGAATGAACCTGCTTTGGATTAAAGTATATAGGGAATTAATAGTAGGTATGTGGGTAACACTAGAAAATAATCCTCCTAAGTAAAGAGTCAGAGACCTATGTGCTAGGTATGTGTATGAAGATAAGAAATGTGGTTAGCTATGAAGGCTTCAACTGGTGCACAAAGATTGTCATGCACTAATTCATTGAATGTAAGAACTGAAATAACATAGTAAGCGATCACGTTAGAATCAGATTTCTTCAAAGCAAAGTGATTCCACCACTTCTTTGGGACATTACCTCATCTTCCTCACCAGTGCTTTTCCTTTTGTAAAATTAGTTCAATATTAATGGCTTTCTCAAAGGAGTTAATGCAATAATTCCTGTAGAGCACTTATCAAAGAACCTAGAACACACTTAGTACGTAATTTCTGGTGATTGTAGTTACCTACCATGACCTTGGAAGTTTTGGTCTAATGTAGCCATTTCTCCACGGCCACTGAACTCATCTGCTCGGTCTACCAGAGCCTCCTTCACCAGTTCATGTCCACACAAAATAACTACTGGCCGCGGGCCCAGGTACACAGTGAACATGGGGCCATACTTCTTCCGGAGCTGGGAGTGAAGCAAGACACCAGAGGAGGGTTCAATTAGAGCACTCATAGAAACCAGTGAAGGATTTTAGGGGAGGGAGAATTCAGAGGAAATAAATATGGGTACAACAGATCAAGGTAATCTTGGAAGGACTATTGGGGAAAAGGCATGGAAATCTTCACTCCTGGGATCCTGAGCACAAATCACCCTCAACACTTATATGCCAGTTTCCTCATCCGTAAAATGATGGAGCTGTATTACATGAACTCTGAGATCTATTCTTCTCTCTCTGAAATGCTGAATTCCTAGAAGCCTGAAATTTCATGGTACAGAGTCTCAAAGTACTAGTAAAAATCTAAGTTCGAGAGTCCTCATGTTCAAGTATATAAGATCCCAAAGTCCTGAGCCTGTGATTCCAAAGTCCTGAGATCATGAGATGTTTATTCCAATGCACCTGGAACTTGTATTTCCAAAATTTTAAAATTCTGGAATTTCAGAATTCTCAGGTTCTCAGTCTCTCAGAGTCTGTTTCAGAAGTCATAAGGTCTACATGTATCTGGCTATATGATTCACTGCTTCTAGCCCCAGAAGAGGAAATGGACAAACTTACCTTCATGAGACATTGAAAAGGGGCATTAGGGCTGATTTGGAGCAGGTTCCCCAAGAAAGGAATCGGTGTGGGACCTGGGGGGAGCATTCCCCTCTTGTTGATTTGTTTCCAAGCAATGAAGACGAGCAGGCAAGACAAGCAGAGTGCCAGAAAAATGGTGAAGGCCCCTCCCAGTTCCATGGCGCCAGGTTAGATAGTGTCCTGGGTCCCAGGTCCTGCATAAATAGGTTCTGAGAGATCAGCTTGTTCTGAAATCTGATCACCCTGAGATTCAAGTTTTCTGGGAATGGATACCATCAGGAAAGAGACTGCATTATTGAGGGGAGGGGTTATATAACCTATAATCTCCCACCTGGATAAAAGTGAATCAAATTCACCCAAGGAAATCTACAGGGGCCATTCCCCTTTCTTCATATTTCCAGTCCCTCCATTTTTCCCTCAGCTCAACCCCTGGTAGCATTTCCTGTGGGTTGTGGAAGGCTCCTGGGTACCTGCTTAGGTTACAGAGTTTAGGGTTCACAGAGTTTGTGTTGAAGTTCAAACTCCATCTTTTCTTCACTGGGTGAGACATCCAACCCTGGGCCTCAGTTTCCCTATCTCTCAAGCTGATTCAGAAAGTCTTGATCAACAACAGGGCTGACTCCTGTGTTCATCCTTTGGTTAGGAGTAAAGCTAAATGTTTTTTTAATAAATAAGGATGAAAATTTCAAGAACAGGGAAGAAGAGCATGAGGAAAAGATTAAGATTAAACAGAGACAAGTGGGGGGAGAGAAAGGGAGAGAGAAGGGAAACTGTATGGAAATGGAAGGAGACCCTCATTGTTACACAAAATTACATATAAGAGTTTGTGAGGGGAAAGGGGAAAAAACAAGGGAGAGAATTGAATAACAGCAGATGGGGTAGAGAGGGAAGATGAGAGGGAAGGGGAGGGGGAATAGTAGGGGATAGGAAAGGTAGCAGAATACAACAGTCACTAATATGGTATTATGTAAAAATGTGGATGTGTAACCGATGTGATTCTTCAACTTGTATTTGGGATAAAAATGGGAGTTCATAACCCACTTGAATCAAATATATGAAAGATGATATGTCATGAGCTTTGTAATGTTTTGAACAACCAATAAAATAAATAAATAAATAAATAAAGATGAAAATTTCAAATAGTAAGAAAAGTAAGTCAATTAAAAGGGTATTAGTCAACACATCTTTGCTACTCATGATGACACTAAATAATAACAATCAAAGGCTGGTTGTATGGATTTATCTTTGCTGGAATATGTGTGTGTGTGTGTGTGTGTGTGTGTGTGTGTGTGTAAACACTTAGACATTTCCAACTTCAAATCCCAGCATACCCAGTTCCTTGCTGTTCGACCTTGAAGTTTCTTTGTTCCACAGTCAATCACTTTCCTAAGGGCCCTGCTTCCCAATTCCTGTGCCTCTTCCCTGCCTTCACAGATTGGATCCAGTGAAGATCACAAATGCAAAACACAGTTCCCAAAGACCAAGCAGTGTGCATGGCATCTGTATGCCTCAGTGACAAAGTGATGAATCTCCCAGCAGGAGGGGCTATAGCCCATGGGTCCCCCACCAGCCCCTAGAAACCCCATTTTGGAGCTTGGCCAAGCCTCTAGATCACTGCCAAGCTTGGCCACTTGGCCTCTGTAACCTGAAAGACACCGCACTACGAATGAAAGACACCACACGACACAAATCACCGGAGAGGCTCCACTTTATTACAAAGGCTGTGGGCTTATATAGATCTAAGGAGAGGTGGCAGGGCTTAGGTAAATGACGGGTCACCCGTTTATTGGTAAGTTCTTCCAGATGTAATTCCCGGAGCCCAAGAAGTTAGTTCTTATTGGGGCTAAGGTTTCCCGTCAGTGGGATTTAAATATTGGTGCCGGCGGGAAAGGGAGAGACAGGAAGAGAAGCTCCTCAGATGCCATGTTGAGGTTTTTGGGGTGTGGCTGCCATTATATCTTTTCCCAACATTCCTCCCTTTTTGTTTTCTTAGGGACTGGGGCATCGTTGTTCAGATCCAGCTGCTTCCTGCTGTGTGGGGGCAGCGTAAGGCCTAGAAGGGGAAGTGGAGGAATGTTCAGGGAGCAGGTCAGGGGATATCATGGCAACCAGAAATAAAGCCCAGTGGCTATAGACAGCTACTTCAGTAGGGGTGAAATCTATGAAAGTTCCCTGAAGCCACAAGTCGTCGATGACATCGAACCAGTCCTGGATGGAAGAGATTGTTGGTATCAGCCATTGGTCCTGTAACAGAGACTCCAGGAAATATTGTAAGTGTTGCCTTGACATAGCGTCACCAGCATCTGAAGAAGATCAGAGCGAACAAAAACAGGATGAAGATAAAGATTAAAGCAAAGATCATTTTTTGGCAGAAGTTCCATGTTGGGGGACTGACAGAGAAGAGGCCAAGGGCCATGAGGAGGCTTAAAAGGACATAAAGACTCAAGAATCCAGGTGGCAGATTAAGAGGTTCTTCTGGCTCGTTGTCTCCCACTGTCTGATGTCCATTGCATTCCATCGTGCCTGGTAGTGAGCTTCAGCACTGAGTGAGCTGTTTTCTTGAAGATGTTGGGGGTACATCAGTCATCAGAGGCTGATAGTGCCTAAGCAGAAGCTGGTTGAAAGTTTGGTTAGAGATATTCTGTAATTGGCCCTGTAGGAAGCGAAGCAGACAGGGCAGGAACAGACACATCAGAAAAAGGAGA